ATGAGGACCTTGCTTCTCGGCTGTTCCCTCAAGAGCTCGTGCTGAGATGTCCACTTTGAGCACATTTTTAAGACATTGATTGTGTTTGTTTTGAAAGTCCAGATGGCTGCATCAGAACTTAGCTTTCATGTTAAGGCATTAAGAGTTTGACAGACAGACAGACAATTACTTGGTTATAGACTAAAACAAAAGTAGGCTTTTTTTTTTGTAGGAGGATAGTGATTTTCAAGTTATAATAGAACACAAAACAAAGAGTTATTTAAAAATAAATTAGAAGAGTTTTTATGAAAACATCTGTTTCTTCTTAGAGCTTAAAGTTTTTCTCTTATAAATGTGAAATCCAGCCTCATTCATGCCCGCAGTGAAAAGGTTTGTAGTTTCCAAGGAAAGAATAGGTTCGCTGTGTTTTTCAGCTTAAAGCAGCTCAGATTTATAACAGTTCAGACTCTGTAATTGTATTGTTGATAGTATAACATTTTAAAGTAGTTCTCTGAAGAGAATTCACTAGAAAAACACAACAAAATGTAAACAGTAAATATAATTACATCAGATTATTTTAGCCCTTATAGCAGAAAAGGATTGCCTTTCTGGTTGTATTAAAAACCTAACTTCTTTTGAAACATATAAAAAAAATAAATTATTGTATGGATAAATGGACAGACATGAGATAAACCAAAGTTTGCAAAATGTTAACAGCTTAGAATGTAGGTGAGTATATATGAGTTTTATTGTTGAATTCGTTCAGCTTTTCTGTATATTCAAAATTTTTTATATTAAAATGTTAGTGGATAGCCAAAACCGGTTTGGCTCAGTGGATAGAGCGTCGGCCTGTGGACTGAGGGGTCCCAGGTTCGATTCCGGTCAAGGGCATGTACCTGGGCTGCGGGCACATCCCCAGTAGGAGATGTGCAGGAGGCAGCTGATCGATGTTTCTAACTCTCTATCTCTCTCCCTTCCTGTCTGTAAAAAATCAATAAAATATATTTTTTTAAAAAATGTTAGTGGGTAGGGAAGGAGAAGGAAAATACCTTTGCTATGGAAGTGACATGGTTTTTCTTTATACTCCACCATCTTTAGAAATTAAAGGATTAAACTCTCGCTTATTAAATAGGAAAGGATTAAATCACACTTTTTTGCCAGTCTCTCACCCAACAAATGGCTAAGGGGGATTAGGTCATCCCACCAGATAGAATCTCTAAAATAAAGAGATTTCTCCAACTTTCCCACCAAGAGCACTGGTAATGCACTGTTATAGGTTCAGGCCTAGATGTTGGACTCCTGGTTTCAAGCATACCTTCTTTTCTTACTTAGAGCACAGATTACATCATCTGCCATTTTAAACAATTTAATTGCAAACATTTGTATTAAATTTTATATTGACTTTATGAACTAATCAAAGTATTAAAAATCCATGTCAAGTTTAGAACATAAAATTCTCCAGCTTATAAGATATGTATTATAGTCATGGCCATAATTGGGATGGGATGGGAGGGTGCTTCATTACTCTGATATTCAAATGAAGAAAATTTGGTAAAGTTAGTGTCTGCATAAATGATAGAGCAATTGAATGTATTTACTTGCAAGTAACTGGAAGACGAGACCCGAATTCGTTTATAAGGACATAATTCTTATGTAACAATCAGTATAAAAGTATGGCAGACTTGCCCTGGCTGGTGCTGGTCAGTGGTTAGAGTGTCAGCTGCATACCAGGGTTTTGGGTTGGATCCCACAATTGCACATGGGGGAGGCAACCTATCAATGTGTCTCTCTCATGTCAATGTTTTTCTCTCTCCCCACCCTACCTCCCTTCCACTCTTTCTAAAAAAAAAAAAATCAATGGAAAAGATCCTCTGATGAGGATTAACAACAACAAAAATGTATAGCAGACTTCAAGGTGAACAGCAGTATCATTCAGGACTGGGGTATTTTCCTTCATTTTTCCTCATTACTCTCTGTAGCATCAATTTCCTGGTCATCAGAAGTCTGGTACAGTTATGTGTGGCACATGCTTCCCAGTCAGGTTCAGTGGATATAGGATAATAAAATAAATTATCTTGCCTTCTGCTGATTGGCTGAAATTGGCCATGTGGTCAGTTTCAGCCCAGTGGTAGTTGCCATGGGGATGCTTTGGACAGATGAGCTTAAGCTGAGGTCACTAAGCTAATCATTGCAGAAGGAGGTAAAGCCAGGACTTAGACTAGTAGAAGTCACCTGGCTTGAGCAAATGGGAATTCTCTTAGGCAAGAGGAAATGGTAATTGAGTCTGCCCCAGGGGTGGGCAAACTTTTTGACTCAATGGCCACAATGGGTTCTTAAACTGGACCGGAGGGCCGGAGCAAAAGCATGGATGGAGTGTTTGTGTGAACTAATATAAATTCAAAGTAAACATCATTACATAAAAGGGTATGGTCTTTTTTTTTTTTTTTAG